GGCCTCATGTCATAGGTTCTCGACACCAGCCCACTTTAAATCTTTCAGATAAAATGGTCAATGATCTGAAGTTATGGTCTTTTATATAAAATATATCATTTCCATGGCCTTTGGCCATTTTATCTTGATTGTAAATGAAAAACAAAGACTTATATAACAACTTAAATCAATGAGGACATTTTGATTGGGGACAGAGCTAATATGGCATCAATCAGTCTGATTATTCTGATACTTCCTTAAGAGGAGATCCAAGATGGCTGCTCGGGTAGACATCTAACCGAGGCAGCACACAACAATTTCAATGGAATACAACTAAAATGTAGAGTGGACATTGCTCAGAGCTACAGGTAGTCGACTGACTGAAAATTCTACAACAAGAAGGAAAGAGAAAACTAGAAGGAAAATCAGAGGAGCTGAAAAAAAGCCTAAGGTACGGAGACATGCTGCGCGCCCGCCCGCACGCGTGCACGGAGAGGTCGCAGCCGGAGAGGAGGAAAGGGCTGGGTGCTGCCTGGCGTTCCCTAGCCAGCCTGGGCTGAACCCCCAGCCTGGGCTGAACCCCAGAACCGGCAGCGCTGAGCCCCAGTTATGGGCCAGACCCTGGGGACCCAGGCTCTGGCAGGGGGAGACAGGCCTGTGAGGCTGAATCCCAGAAGAGCAGTGAAAAGCAGGGCCCCCGGAGTCGCGCGCAATGCGCACGCAGAGGACTGAATGTTGACTCTGATGCTGGGTTACCCTAGCCTGAAGAAACAAGGCCTCCGGCGGTGCTGAGCCTCAGTCCGGACTGCTCCAAACCTCAGTTTTGGGCCAATCCCTGGGGACCCAGGCTCAGGCAGAGGGAGACGGGGCTGTGAGGTGGAGTCTGGGGAGAGCGGCGAAAGGCGTGGCCCTGGGACTCCTACACACTGCACGCAGAGGACAGTCTGTTGACTCTGATGCTGGACTCCCCTAGCGGGAAGGAGAAAAAAAGCTCCAGGCTGGGGGAACGCAGGGGGGAGCGGGAGTCCCTGCCGGACGCCAGCCAACCGGGCACCAGCAAGGAGGCCTGCGACGGGGTCCCTGGGGGTGGGTGCCCCTGAGCCTTCAACCGCTGAGCTTGGGCAATGGAGCCAAGGCCAGGGGCTGCTTCCTGGGTGGCGCCGTCCCCCGCCAACAGGCTGAAGCAGTGCAGGAGCCCGCGGAGAACAAAGGGGTGCCACAGGCCAACCTGCTGAGCTCCCAGAACAAGGAGGAAGAAACCAAAGAAGTTCTCAATGTGAAGAAATCAAGTCAGAGCAAAAGATAGTAAAATTACTTAAGAAAGAATACAAAGAAGTTCTTGAAAAATTAAAGACTAAGTCAGAACTCAACTCACCAGCCAACATTGCAACATAAATGCGTTTTCAAAGAAAAAAAAAAGGACAGAATGTTGGAACAGCGGCGGCCAGGCCTAGAGTGTCCAGGCACAAGGCAGTGGCAGCCAGGCCCGGAGCAGCAACGGCCAGGCCCCAGAGCAGCAGCAGCCAGAACCAGAGCATCAACAGCCAGCACTGGAGCAGCCAGACCTGGGGCAGTGGCAGCCAGGCCTGAGGCAGAGGCGGCCAAGCCCAGGGTGGCCAGTCCAAGAACACCCAGATCCGGAGTGGCCAGGCCCAGAGAAGCCGGGCCCAGAGCAGCCGGGGTGGGAGCAGCCAGACCCAGAACAGCAGTAGCCAAGCCCAGAGCATCCAGGTCAGGAGTGGCCAGGCTCGGAGCAGCGGCTGCCAGGCTGGGAGCGGCCAGGCCCGGGGGAGCAGCAGCCAAGTCCAGAGCAACTAGGTTGGGAGCGGCAGTGACCAGACCCGGAACAGCTTGTTGTGGAACGAACCAGAGCAACAGAGGCCAGGCCCTGAGCAGCCAGGCCCGGAACAGCTCGCTCCTCGCCTGCCCCTGCCCCACGGCTGCCTCTCAGACATGGCTGGAAACTTTCGCGGGAACTTGAGGGTCTGCTGAATCAAGTGATGAAGGCTTAGATCTGGATATGTTGAGTTAGTATAGGGCTGGGGTGTTGATCTGTGAGTGCCTTGGGTGGGGCCTGGATGAGGCTAGTTGACCTATTGGGAAATGTCTTTTGTGTGAAGTGTATCATTGGGCATGTGGAGGTATTATTGATATGAGATAATGCTAAGTAACTGATTTACTATCTGAAAAGGGATTTACTATCGGGGAAAGGGAGGGAAGAAGAGACTGAACATAAACTGTGCACCTATGGATGAGGACAATGGGGGATGGGGAGGGGGCGGAGGGTGGGGTGGGAACCTGGTGGAGCGGGGAAGAAATGAGGAACCTTTGTAATAATATGAACAATAAAGATTGATTAAAAAAATCAGTCTGATTATTCTAGAACAGGAATCAGCAAACTTTTTTGGTAAAGTGTCAGATTAATCTATGTGGGTCATATGTTCCTTATCACTACTAATCAACTTTGCCATGATATCATGAAAGCAGATATAAGCTATTTGTAAGCAATTGGGCATACCTGTGTTCCAATAATATTTTATTAACAAAGGCAGGTGGTAGGCTGTACTTGACCCATATATTCTGAAATACTAATTATCTTAACAGTCCCTGTAGCTTTTTCTGTCAACCACAGTTTACATTCAGTACCATTCCACACCATTTTCATCTGTACAGCAAAGTGGCCGGAAAACCATGCACAGAGTGGTCCTCCACTGACCCAAGCACCTACCTGGCCCATGCCCAATTATCTCGACATTATTGACTATATTCCCCATGCTGCAAACCACATCTCTGTGGCTGTTCCGCCACTACCAATCTTTTTCACCCAGCCTCTCGACTCCCCTCATCTGACAGTTGTCAGCCTGTTCTTTGTATATATGAGTCTGTTTCTATTTTGCTCATTGCTTTCCACATATAAGTTAAATCATATGGTATTTGTCTTTCTCTGACTGGCTTATTTCAAATTAGTATAATACTCTCCAGGTCCATCAGGAGGGGTTAAGATGGCTGGATAGAAAAGGTGAAGGGATTAAGCAAAGAAAAAAATCCTCATCAACAGAGGGAAAGCAGGGAGGAGGCAAGTAGAAGAGGGTAAAGTGGGGATAAATGGTGATGGAAGGAAAGTTAAAGTGGTGGACACACAATATACAGATTACGTATTATAGAAGTATACACCTGGAAACCTATATAATTGTGTTAACTAATGTCACCCCAATAAACTAAATGAAAGTAAAGAGCATGAAACCTGAAAAAAATTGTGAGGTGAACATCTTGACAATTATATTTCTGTAAATATTTGCTTTACTAGGTACCGGTTGTCAAGAAAAGTTCCTTGGATTTATACAAGCACATATTCCAATGAACTCTAAGCACAACTCTGACACATTCTCAGGGCACTCTTGTGAATTAGGAAAAGGCTAAACCAGCTCCAACAGCTTTCAGAGATGGTAGAAGGAAGCAGAGAGAGGCTGAGTCACAAGGCAGAAGGGAGCCAAGAAGAAACCAGGGTGAGGATTGTCTGGTTCTAGATGTACATGTACCTCTGCCTCTCCCTCTGTGTGGCACACTCTTGTCTCTCCACAAAGCTCAGCAGGCCATGGATTTCACAGCCAATGGCCCAACCCTACAACAATCACTGAGAACCAGGCTCAGCAGCCCCTTGGAAGCACACCTAAGCATTTGGCATACAGGCAGGGAGACATAAACATCTATTTACAAGGGTGGGCTCTGTTACACAGGTTGACTTAATCTTTGGGAAAACCCAAACTGGGAGGAACTCTTATTATTCCCATTTCACACAGCAGGGAACTGCTGCTCAGAGGGGACAGATGATTGTCCAGGATCCCATGGCCAGAAAGTGGTGTCTAGGGATGGCCAAGTTTTGTCCTCTGATAGCATTGTTGAAGCTGGCTAGGCAGCCTCTGACCAGCCCTGTATGACAGGTGAGGAAGCAGCAGAGGGGAGTGAACATTGGTGGAAATGTCAAATGTTGATACTCACAGGAAAGGGGTTAGTTTTCTACAATATTTAATTCAAAAACTTTAAAAAAAAACCTTAACAGCACATAAAAGTGTTATGTGCTTTTATAAGTCCATCAGTTGGGATAGAATTTATAAAGTGCATATACATTTTAAAACATGTATTCAGCCACTGATAATTCTCACTAAATTAAATATAATAACAAGATAGGTGTTTCATTTGAGAATGAGATTTATACTTATGTTCGTAATGTAATATTCAGTAATCATTAAGAATTGTTTGAATTTCATGTCTTAGACCAGAGAGTAGCTTTTATATATTATTGTTTAAAGAACCAGTATCCATAAAAGAGGACAAAATAATGTATTGTAAATGGCAGTTAAAACACTAGCTAATAATCACTGTCTCAAGTCCCTTTTTTTTGTAATGAGGCACTATATAAATAAATAAAATCAGCAGACTCTAATTCCTTTTATGTATGTTTGTTTTTCCCATCACTCCTCATTCCTCCTGTAAAGCCTGTCCCATGAATTCATGCCAACTGCTATGCTACCCTCTGCCACTCCCTTCCCACCATCTCCTACTTTTAGACATTCCCCAATCATTAATAAATCCTTTAGCGCCTCAGTCATGGTCTTCAGCCCCACCCCAGTTACCACCATCACTCTGGGAGCCACCCCCACCCCCAGCCTTGACTTGTTCAGAACCCATGTGGAAGTCTTCTCTTTCCCAACAACCTCCGCCAGTTTTTCCCACCAGCGCCCCTCCCCTCACCTTCACCATTAGAAACTGTTCCCTTAAATCCCTAATTCCACCATTCCCACCAGCCCACACCTTCTACCTTCCAATTCTCCATGAGGTATCTCCTGGATGTCTCTCAGCTACCTCCCACACCAAATGACAAAAACAGCGGAGTCAAAAGTACTGCGATGATTTTCAATTCTTTAATGACATTCGTTGACAACAGAACCTGGCTTCTTCAGCTAGGTGACATTCAGCTTGGGCTGCTTATACGACTCTTGCCAGGCTCTGGGACTCAGGCTTCAGCCTCTTCTGGATCCACGCTTTTGGTCAAACAGAGTGAAGGCTGCATCACTACCGCGCGGCTCTCTATTGCCATTGGTTGCCCCCTGAGCCGGATGCTGGATGGTCGACACACTTTCGTTGCTGGCTTCCATGCCCACCATCTCCACGATGTAGTCCGTCAGCGTGTCAAGCATGACCATAACCAAATCATCTGTGCGTGAACTTTGATCCTGATTCGGGTGATTGTTTTGAAGAAGGCGATCCACGTAGGACAAAGGAGATTGCCACTCCGCTGTTATAAGATGGTCTGGAGCCTTGGAGGAGTTCTCAGGGCTTTGCTTTTGTGACATGGTTTCTGAATTTGACTCAATCAGCCCTTTTTAACTCACTAGCTAGACTAGGTTTCTGAAGACACCAGCGCTCAGCTCCGCCTTTTATATCCCTGCTCTCTAGCCCCTCATTGGTCAGGGAGCCCTTTGTGACATCCTAGATTTTGGGTTGCCATAGGTGTCCACTGTGACCTCATCAGACCTCAGCCTAGAAATGTCCCTAACAGGAACCTGTAACACTTGTGATTGGCCCCTGATTTTTGAGGGAACTGTCATTTTCTGCTTGATTTTAACATTCTAGAAATAAAAGTGTTGCAATGGAAAACTTTTCCCATCTTAAGGACACAACTCCACACTATCTGATTCTAACCTTACATTGTCTTCAAGGTCCTTTATAACCTTTGATTAGCTGGAGGTTACTGATAAACATGTACACTGTCTTGTCTAACAGAGATTAAATCATCCCCCTGTGATGATGTCATGAAACCAGTTTTACATTCATTTATACATTCATTGAAATATTCTTGATTAATAAATATTCCCATATCTAAATTTGTTTTCTCTTTTCAACCAGTTAGAACACCTTGCCATCCCCTCATTGAGAAAACTGAATCTTTTAACACATGTTCATTTTATATCTGTATGAATGTCTTGGTTTTTTACACCATTTGAAAATATATTTTACTCATTTTGGAAGTCACAATGAGATTCTCAGTAGATTCATCTGTCAGAATCAGGTAGACGTTGTTGAGTATGATTTTTAAGAATCATTTTAAGGCCAGATGTGCTTTTGTTCTTGATGGTTCTAGGTGAAGCCAAAGCACCAAATATGTTTGTTTGTTTGTTTGTTTATTTATTTATTTATTATCATTTTCATTTTCCTCTCTACTAATATTGTGTCTGCTTTGTTTTTGGTTCTGTTATAGTTGATCACAGTTATAAATATGTCTATTCCAAAAGAGAGAATGTAGAAGGAAGAAAGGAGTCTCTGACGTAAGCAATTTCACAAAACTTCATAGCTTCAAGGCCTGGGAATAATCATTGGTGAGGTGAGGCTCTTCCCTTTGATCTATGATTTCACCTGGCTTCACAGCTCTGCCCTTTATATTCTGCACTCAGAATCATCTTTCCTTTTGAATTGAGCACATGTTTGCAGCTGAGTAGTTTATCAGTGCGTTTTCTGCTTGTCAACACCTGAAAATACCACAACCTTCTATCAAGTCATCCTCTGTCTATTCTTTCAGTTAAAAATGACATTGTTCCTGTTGATTTAACATATGCAAAGATTCTGTAGTCTCCTGTGTATGTCATGGGGATTCATGTCCTTAGACAAGAAGCTCCTTCCCAGATCCCTCTTGGAAAATCTCATCTTTATTTGTTGCTTCTGCTAAGATAGCTAGGAATATTCATGATTCATATCCCATATTGCGTCAAAGAGCCCTCTGAATACTCTGAACTTTTGATTCCTCAGCTGTACTAGCACATGGGTGACTAGCTACATCCTTGATTTTATCTCCATGGGACACTTTCCTGACAGTGAATCCTCTCATTTTAATGTCTTTAAGAATCTGGATAGGCTGAGAATTTCTTTTATCTTCATGTATTGGTTCTTTTTTGCTTAACAGTTCTTCCCTCAATTTATGTATTCCCTTTAACATTTTGCTCTTAATAGCAAGAAAAAACAATGTCATGCCTTCAACACTTACCTTGGGAATCTGTTCAGGTACATGTTCATTGTTACAATTCACCTATGATTTCTGCCCTTACGTAATAAGAATCCCCTTCCTTCAGTTTCCAATATTTTCCCTTTAAATCTTCACAAACAACACCTGATATTCATGTATCTACCAATAGCTTGTTTTTGATTAGGTATTCTCTAAGTCTTAGAGTCTAAGACAATATAGGCCTTCTCAGCTGTGCTCCTCACTTTCTCTTTTAAATTAATCTTTATTATCGAAAGTATTAAAGATGTCCCTTTTTTCCCATTTACCCTCTCCACCCTGCACCTACTCTTCCCAGGCCTACACCACACTATTGTCTATGTCCATAGACTATGTATAAATGCATATACATTATGCATTGTGTGCCTCCATCAGCCAACCCTCTAACTGCCCACTACCCTCTCCTTCCCAAGAACAGACCTGTTGGGTGTCTGTTCCCTGATTAATCTCTTCCAACCCACCCACCTACCCACCCACTCTACTCCGCCTTCCCTCTGAGATTCCTCAGTCTGTTCCATTCTTCTATGTCTCTGGATCTATTTTGTTTATCAGTTTATTTTATTCATTAGATTCCACATATTTGTGAAATCATGTGATACTTATCTTTCTCTGGCAGGATTATTTTGCTTAGCATAACACTCTCCAGGTCCCTCCATGCTGTCTCAAATGGTAAGAGATACTTATTTTATAGTAAGAGATCCTCCTTTTATGCAGCTGCACAGTTTTCCATTGTATAAATGTGCTATAGCTTTTTTTATCGCTCATATGGTGATGGGCACTTAGGCTGTTTCCATCTTAGCTATTGTAAGTTACACTGCTATGGACATAGTGGTGCATTTATTCTTTCTGACTGGTATTTGGGGTTTCTTAGGATATATTCCTAGAAGTGAAATCACTGGGACCCATGACTACTCTATTTAGCAAGGCTATCATTCAAAATAGAAGATGAAATAAAAATGGAATCCCTTCCTTTTGAGCTCTCATCAGTAGCACTTTAAAGATGCATAGTTTTACTAACTGTTCAAGGTAATCTAGAATTTATTTTTATTATGCTCCCCAAAATTATTCTAGCCTATAGCCATTATCCAATTCCAAAGACACTTCCATATTTTTAGATATATGTTATGGCAGCAATCTACTTCCTGGGACCAAAACCTGTATTAGATTCCTATGGCTTTGCTACAAATTGGGTGGCTTAAAACAACACATATTTTTTAAAAAAATATATTTCATTGATTTTGTACAGAGAGGAAGGGAGAGAGATAGAGAGTTAGAAACATCGATGAGAGAGTCATCAATCAGCTGCCTCTTGCACACCCCCTTCTGGGGATATGCCTGCAACCAAGGTACTTGCCCTTGACCGGAATTAAACCCGGGACCTTTCAGTCCCCAAGCCGACGCTCTATCCATTGAGCCAAACCGGTTTCGGCAACAACACACATTTAGTATTACACAGCTCTGGAAACAAGAAGTCCAAGTTCGTTTCACTGGGCTGAAAACAAGTTCCCAACCAGGCCCCATTCTTTCTGGAGGTTCTAGAGGAGAGTCAGTTTCCTAGCCTTTTCCAGCTCCCAGAGCTGCATTCCTTGTCTGTGCCCACCTCCTTCAGCCTCACAGCCAACATTATAGAATTTTGCTTCAGTGGTCAAATTTCCTTTTCTGTGTCACATTTATTTCTGCCACTTCCCTTCCCTTCCCTTCCCTTCCCTTCCCTTCCCTTCCCTTCCCTTCCCTTCCCTTCCCTTCCCTTCCCTTCCCTTCCCTTCCCTTCCCTTCCCTTCCCTTCCCTTCCCTTCCCTTCCCTTCCCTTCCCTTCCCTTCCTTCTTTCCTTCCTTCCTTCCTTCCTTCCTTCCTTCCTTCCTTCCTTCCTTCCTTCCTTCCTTTCCTTCCTTCCTTCCTTCCTTCCTTCCTTCCCTCCTTCCCCCTCTCCCTCCCTCCTTCCCCTCTCCCTCCCTCCCTCCCTCCTTCTTCTTCTTCTTCTTCTTCTTCTTCTTCTTCTTCTTCTTCTTCTTCTTCTTCTTCTTCTTCTTCTTCTTCTTCTTCTTCTTCTTCTTCTTCTTTTCTCTCTCTCTCTCTCTCTCCTCTCTCTCTCTCTCTCTCTTTCTTTCTTTCTTTCTTTCTTTCTTTCTTTCTTTCTTTCTTTCTTTCTTTCTTTCTTTCTTTCTTTCTTTCTTTCTTTCTTTCTTTCTTTCTTTCTTTCTTCTCCAGAGGATATGTTTCCATTGATGATTTTGTAGTTGTTTTTTGGTTTTATTTATTTATTTAATTGATTAAATTTTATTGGTCAACATGAACATATAGGTTTAATGTATGTATTTCTAAATAACAAAATCTGTATATAGCACAATGTGTCCACCAAAGTCAAGTCTTCTCCTGTCATGTCATATTTGGACTCCCTTCTCCCCTCATCCTACGGCAACCACTACATTGCTTTTGTGTTTGTAAGTTTCAGTTTTATATCCCACATATGAGTGAAATTGTATGGTTCTTAGCTTTTTCTGTCTGACTTATTTCACTTAGCATAAGGCTCTCAAGGTCCATCCATGTTGTTATAAATAGCATCTACTGACTTTTAGAGAGTGGAAGAGAGAGGGAAAGACAGAGAGAGACATTGATGTGAGAGAAATACATTGATTAATTGCCTCCTGCATGAGCCTCAACCAGGGCCGGGGCTGGGGAAAAGCCTGCAACTGAGGTACATGCCCTTGACTGGAATCAAACCTGGGACCCTTTGGGCCACAAGCCCACACTCTATCCACTGAGCCAAACTGGCTAGAGCTATCTCTGCCTATCCTATATAATGAAAGGCTAATATGCAAATAAACTGAATGGCAGAACAACCAAACAACCAGTTTCTATGTCATGTGCTGACCACTAGGGGTGGGGTGCGGAACATGGTGTGGGAGGGCAGCAGGTGGCAGAGCACAGAACATGGCAGCATCAGGTGTGGTGGGATGGTGGGCCAGGTGAACAGATCAAGGCTGTGTGCTAGTCACTGTAATCCGAGCAAAGCCTCTGGTTGTTACTGAGAGTTCTTTGCTCCTGCATGCCCTGGACTCACCTGGTGGTTGCACCCACTGCTGGTGATGAAGCTGCCACTCGCACCTGGTGCTGCCGCCCAGCACCGGCCATGATCACTTGGTGCTGTCAGCAGGTGTCAGCAGTAGCTGCGGGCCCCATCACCCCTCAGGGCTTCTCCACCTCCCCCTGCTCCTGAGGAGCAATTGGGGCTGGCAGCCGCCTTTCACACTCACTGCTGGTGATGGCCCCACTTGCGCCTTCAGCCAGCTCTGGAGCCA